GCCCACCAAAGGGTGAGTCACCTTGGCAAGGCCACTTCCCTCTCTAACCTTTACCCCTGCATGGCCCACAAAAGGGTGAGTCAAGTTGAAATGACAACATCCTTCTCTAAATTTTACCCCTGCGTGGCCCACAAAAGGGTGAGTCAACTTGGCATGGCCACTTCCCTCTCACACGCCTAGGGGAAGGTAGGACCCTACAAAACACAGAGGGAAGGGGGAGGAGGGATTGGGTGACGACTGTGTGACAACCTCAGTGAAGGCATGAGTGACTAAGTCAGCAAAGAAAGAAGTAAGTATGTGGCCAAGTTAATGAATGAGTGAGTGAAAGAAAGAAAGAAAGAAAGAAAGAAAGAAAGAAAGAAAGAAAGAAAGAAAGAAAGAATGAATGAATGAATGAATGAGTGAGAGAGTGAGTCAGTGAGTGAGTCAGTGAGTGAGTCAGTGCGTGAGTGAGTGAATGAGTGAGTGAGTGAGTGAGAGAGGGAGAGAGAGTGAGTGAGAGAGTGAGTGAGAGTGAGTGAGTGAGAGTGAGTGAGAGTGAGAGTGAGGTTGAGGCAGCACATCCGCGTGTACAGACGAGGCATCCCACTCGCGTGTACAGACGAGTCACCTTTCGCGCGTACAAACGAGGCGCCGCCCCCCAAATAGGGCAAATTTGTTTTGATGCAGCAAAGAGCTTATATACTCTTGACAGCAAAACTTACAACTCTTCTTAACACATGCCCCCGATTGTAACCCTTAAGTCGGACTCGCACCTGCGCCACAGGACTTTGCCACTTCTGGAGGCAAGCGACGAATGGCTATGAGCAAGGAATAGTCCATAATGTTCTGACCTTTGAAGCAAGTGGCACAACAAAGAGCAAAATAAAGCCATGGACACGCGCAAAAATTGGAATGAAACCAATGCTGACTTGACTATACATATATCCGCCGACCCCGGCCGACGCAAGGGGGAGCGCGCCAGGGAATAATGATAGATCCGCCAGAACTCAATCGTTTGGAGCAGAACTCAATGGGTTAAAGCCGTGGCGAAGGGGTGGTTTCAGATGCTTTTGGGAGGCTGGAAAGCTTTTGGCAGGCTGTTGGTGGAGCTTTTTGGGAGGCTGGTTAGTGGTGGAAAATGCTAGCAAATTGTTTTTTTTCTAGGGATCCAGAGCGTCCGTTTGACACCGAACGTCCGAGGAATTGGGGCTCGTTTGGAGC